CCTTAAGTAGAGCAACATCATGGGACAACTTAGAAATTACATCATTTAATTTGAATTCAATTAAAACTAGTCCTGATATTATTGTTGAATATGAAAGATTAATAGAAAAATATAACAATATTATTGGTAGATTTAATACATTTGTAATATGAATAAAATAAATTTATGTAAAATCAGTAGTTATATTAAAGAACTAAAAATCAAAATACAAATTAATAGTAAATTTATAATATTATTTAACTTAACAGAACTCCTCCCACCCTCAATTCTTGTTTATTATTAAAAAATTAATTTTAATATGTTACAACTTTTTGTCAATCATTTCCGAATTTTATCGATTTCACAAATATTTCAAATCTGTATCGATCATTTTTAAAAAATCAATCTGAAAAAAATTACAAATCGGAACCACATATAAAAACTTCTTATCTATTAATATAACAATAAAATGATACTAAGTACAGTTAAAGTTTATTATATGGAGCATCTACTGTGAAAGTTTTAGATTTTTAAATTGAGAATTGAGTTTAATATTAACGGTTGAATATCGTACGTTTTAAACTTATACTCTAAAGTTTAATCGTGTATTATTCTCTCAATTCTCAATATATAAAGTTGAAATTTTTACAAAAGATTTGCCATATATCAGGCTTTAAGGTGACTTAATACCACATTTATTGTTACGTTAACAAATAATCAAGTTTTTCAGGTATAAACGATCGATATAATTATTTTTGATTTTTTTTATTTTTTTAAAATTTTTTTTAAATTTAGGTCGTTTTTATTCACGTCTAATTGTAGTCAAAATTTTTATTAGGTACCGTGAAAAACGTCTATAATTAAAGTTGTAGATATTATTTTTGGTTATAATTTCATATAAGATAATTGGTATCTATCTTTAATACCCATCGAATGCGGTATAGGTAACAATCCAAGAATAAATTTATTATTTTTTGTCAGTTTTATTTGAAGCGTAATATCTCTATGTATAGATGTTCAATTTTATCACAAAATATATCATAAGATAGCTCTAGTTTAGGGGAATTAAATAAAAAAAGTTTATACAATTTAGATCACTCATTGTACCACAATTAGCATTTAATTTTAGCAATTATTTTTGAATTTTATCATTCCACAAATAAAATAAAATTATTGAAAAATATATAAAATCAACGATCGTATCTACATATAAAGATTTTTAATTTGATAACTAAATCACAAAAACGTTACTAAGTAAAATTTGAGCTTTGAATGAAATACACCTACAAAATAAATTTTAGACCTAAATATCACAAATTGAAGGAAAGCTAGACATTTAAATTATGAACAAATGTTCAAAATTTAAATGTCTCTCTTTCCTTTAATTTGCAAGATTCAGGTCTAAAATTTTTTGGTAGGTGTATTTTTTCTTAGTTATAATTTTAATTAATAAGGGTTTTAATGTTTTACTAATAAAAAAAGTAAAAACGATCGATTTTTTCTTTTTTATTATCAAAAAATCATCCAAAAATCGTCCCAAAATCGGATGGCCGATTTGCAAATCAGCCAACCGATTCTCAGGCGATTTGAAGATCGGACGGCCGATTTTAGATGATTTTTGATTGTGTAAAGAAATCAGATAAGAATACAAAGAATCTATCTTATTTCAGTATCTATCAAAAAATATTATTAAAAATTAAAAAACTTTAATAAATTATTTAGTAAATTGTACAAGAAACTGTATAAAGATATGCATCGGAAAATTTTATATGAAAATTTCATCACCCACGCAAATTTGCGCAAGTTTTTTTGTGGGCTTTTTCCATTTTTTCGCAAGTTGCGAGGCGCAGTGCGATTTTTACAAAAAATCAGACGTAAATTTCTGTAAATCTTTTCTTTGAACCAGATTATACCGGTCGATCTCTGTGAATATCGATATTAAATGGATGAAACACATTTCATTTGTAGCTAAGAGCAAGGCCGTTCTCTCTAGCTTAGAAACAGCTTAGTAGAAAATCGCTCTACGCCTTGCAACTCTAGAGCGAAGTCGAAAAAAAACTTGCGCAAATTTACGCGGGTGATGAAAATTTGTGTAAATTTTTGCCTAATAAAATTTCCTGATGATGTGATAAATTATAATTATGATTACTTATCAAGAAGATTTTATCATCAGGCTGTATTTGTAAAAAAAACTTTGAATAATTCTAGATTGTCATAATAACCATTTCTTATTTAAGTGACCATTGTTCATAGAGGAAAGATTTCCCCTTCTATTTTTACTCTCATTTACTCTTATTTTTACTCTATTTCTATTACTATTTCTATTTCTATTTCTTCTATTTCTATTTCTATTTCTATTTCTTCTATTTCTATTTCTATTTTGAATATAATTAATAGTTTTAGTTGTATTTTAAATTATATTTCGATGTACTTAATAAGTATTTTTTAGTATTTTTTAGTATAACTTTTATTTAAATATCAAATATACTTAAATTTGTATCAAATTATAAATTTAAAATTATTCGATTGAGAAAAATCGGTTTTAAATTACGTAACGAAAATTTATACTAGTTATAATGAGCGTGAGCGATAAGGTTTTAATTTAAAATAATTGTGATACTTCTAATACAAAATATGTAAACTTTAATTGTTTCTTAATATTTAAAAAATACAACGGTTTTTACAAAAAAGGGTTAAAAAATAAATTTCTGCTGTGGGCGATCCCATATATATCATATGCTTAATAAAATATTATTTTAAATAATAAATAAAA